ATATGGTTCATGGGGTCACGAAGAGTCGGACATGACTTAATGACTGAACAACAAGAAGATGTGCATATGTATATGTAGGATTACAGTCTTAAATTATTTTGTCTATATGTTGCAGTATAGCCTGATTCTCTGCATTTTTATTACAAAATTATGCTGTTTTTTTCCCTCCATATAATGAACACGTTAAACAATTTAATATTAAAGGACTTAAACATGACCTTATAGTTTTTAAAGCAGAATTTATTGCAGAGATGTAAGGGGAGCAACACTGTTGAAGATTTGTTTTCTGTAGGTTCTTCTGGTATATAATAAGATTCTAAGCATAACCTGTACTACTATTAACAGTAAGATATTGTGCATTTCAGATGACAGATCTGACCCAGTTCATTTTTATGAGTATGGTCCAAAAGACATGGCCACCATCATCTTCTACATGCTTATAGCCATTATTCTGCATGCAGTGATTCAGGAATATATACTAGATGTAAGTTTACAATTATTAGATAAATGTGAATATGTAAACTTTGTTCAGTTCAAAGATTTTCAAGATACATTTATTAAATAGTATGCTTTACCACTGGATATGAAAGATATGAGAGCCCATTTGATAGAGTGGTTAAAGTGATGGACTAGAAATCGGGAGACTATGAGATCTAGTCCTCTCTTAGGCATGAACATTATGTACAGTACCTTGAATTGTACAAAATGAAAGTGGGATATAAATTTAATAATACGTAACATCTCCCAGACTTTTTCATTATCAACCATATATCTACATTATGAAAGGGTATTGCTTTAGAACGAGCAGTCTACCTGCAGGTAATAAATAAATTGCTCTGGAATGTGTCTTTTCCTGCATGTAAATGAGCTGGTGTGAATTTTGAAAGCATGTTATGCAAATTTTCACAAAATGGCATTCAAAATCCCATTTACCAGAAGGCAAACTAGTAAAGATGTTGCCCTTTACACTTAGCTATCAAGAATATTCCCGGCCATCATCATTTCAACTTTAGTTTTTTGGAACAGCTAGACATACCCTCCTGTTCTGTTTTCTGATAGTGGCTATGGGGCCTACATGATCTTGATTCCCTGCTTTGAATCCTGCTAGTTTCCTTTTTTGTAAAAATAGAACTTAAAATGTTTAAAAAGTAAGGAGAGACAAGAACTGAGAGATGTGCCTGTGGACATATTGACATGTGTATCTGTTATGGTCATAAGTTTTACAATATTTAGTTTCTGTATTTTATTTGGCCAGTTTTTTACTATATTTATAGAGCAGCATTGAATATCATGGCTTCATAATTAGCCAAATCTCTCACATACTCCACTTTAGAGTATATTTTGGATAGCAGTCCAGAATTGGAACCATCCCCAAATTGTGGACCAGAATTTAATGAGGGATTTGGTTCTTCTCTGAAGATGGGCATGTTGGCAACATGTTGAATCCCTAATCAAATAATACTGGATTTCTGGAACTGATTTCTGTGGCAACTTCATTAAAAAATTATATACCCACTATGAATTTATTGTGAAATGAATAGAAATTATATCCATCAATGGATGGATTCCACATTTCTTCAGTAATTCAGTATCCAGGTTTAACTTGGCAGTCTGCTGATAAAGGTAATTTAATCATTTTCCTATATTTATTATATTAAAATCTTAAGCAGCTTTTTTTTTGTTGCTGCTTTTATTTTAAAGATAACTAGTGTGACTCCTATACATGTTAAAGTCTTAAATAAAAATTGCATTCTGCCATGTTATTAAAGACATGGTGTGACTGAACAACAGCCATTGTCCAATTATGCAAAATAATTTAAAACCTCAGGCAAAGAGCTTAACATAAAAATTTGGACATGATTCATATCTTTCTATACTGGAATAAAACAACAGTGCTTGTGCAGAAGTTGATGTTGTGCCTCCCTACATCAGTTGCTAATTGCAATATGCAATCAGCAGCTTAGTCAAATAAACCACTGAAAGACTCGTTAGAAACTTCACTTTCTGTTTTGTCTTCCTGTCCTCTACTCTAGAATGAAAACAGAAGCTGCTGTATATTTGTTTTGTATTGGTCAATAGACTTAGTTTAGAGATATCTATCTCAATTTATGATATGCAAAATATACAGTATGTGCATTCCAAACTTGCACTACCATCTCCTCCCCTTTTTTTGGCACATCCCAGCTGAAAATGTTCTGGATTGGAAAATATGGTTATCAGAATATAAACAAACTAAGACTGAAACCAGTTTCAGATTGTGCTTCAGAGCCTGGTTGTGTTCCAACATGCAAACTTGTGATCCATTAAGGAAGGTGGTGTGAAAACAGAGTACAGAGATACAAAAACTATGCAAGTCTCAACTAAGAATCCAAGACATTCATTTGGGTCATTGTATATAGACATGGGCTCTAGATTAGACTCTGCGAAATTCAAAACCTGTGTGGCACGTAGAGTAATGACTTGCTTTGTATGCAGATTGTTTTTCTAACACTTGAGCAGCAGCTATCAAAGGACTGCTCTGTCAACTAATATAATAGAATATGTGGCTCACACTTTAAAGTTCATTTGCCTAATAAGAAAAATAAAAGGAAAAATCTAGCTTGGCGTTTTGTAGCATTGGAATATAAATGCTGAAGTAGAGATAATCTAGCATTGTTTCTTGGGGAGGCTAACATATTTATTAGGGAAAAAAATGTATTTGACCATACATTTAAATTAATGTTTCTGGTGTTTGTTGGTTTTTTCCCCCTAGAAAATTAATAGACGTCTCCACTTGTCAAAAACAAAACATAGTAAATTCAATGAGTCAGGACAACTAGCCTTTTTCTACTTGTTTTCATTTGTATGGGGAGCAAGTATTTTGTCTGCAGTAAGTAAGTCAAGTTATTTTTTTGGAAATTAATTTAAATGAACGTTTGCCTAAAATATATGAAATCCTTTAACCTTATGTTTTCCTCCTTAGGAAGAATTTACAACAAACCCAACTTTGTTGTGGAAGGATTACCCTCATTCTCATATGTTGTAAGCTTTTTTATTTTGTTCTTTTATCTGACTTGATGTGTTGGGCATTTTGCTTGCTTGTTCAAATTTATGTTATTGAGAACATTATTAACAAATATTATAGATCAGCTCTTAAACAAACCTTGCTTAAATGTTCCATGCTACAGTACACAGAAATTATTTCTAAATCACTCTACAAGAATTCTTATGCCTTGACGAGTGATCACTCTTACATACAGAGTATAATATTCTCTTAATATTAATGTGTTTTTTTTTAATCCTTCAATTTAAATGCAGAACCTGGTAATATTCATTGTGTATTTAACTTCTATTCTTGACCTCCTCCTCTTTCCCTCCCCTGTTCCTTGTCCAAAGAAGATGGATTTTTTATTCAGTGTAACATTTTCTTGGAAACTTTTGAAACACTTAACTAAGGTATAAGTTTTGCCATTCCAAGTTGTTTGGACAATTTCAGCCTTCCTGAACAACTTCAGTTTTGGGTTAATGGCTTCTGATTCTCATGATGATTTGCATGGCAAGGATAACTATTGAATGCTATGTATAAAGCTATTATATATGTTCTTTTCTTTTTAGTTTTCAGGTTAAATTCTTCTATATTTGCCAAATTGCCTATTGGCTCCATGCACTTCCAGAACTCTACTTCCAAAAAATTAGAAAGGTATAAGTTGCAACTTTAATTTAGGCATTATATTTTTTTTATTTACTTTCATTTATAATGATGTAGGATGATATTCTAAATTAGGAAAAGATAAATAATAACAGGGAGAGTAAGAGAATCATACTGTATAGGAATATGTTGTTGGATAGGGAGTATAATGCATTATATTACTTTTGCTTTCAAATTATTCATGTCTTTGTTAATAATGCTTCTGGAAAAAGCTGATTGAAGAACATGCCTTCAACAGAAAAATTGTTCATAAATTACTGCAGTGCAGAAACTCAGAGAACAAGGAAAACTAAGACATTTCATATTAAAATGTTTGCTTTTATACTGTAACATGTTTCTTTTCCATTTTGTATAATTCTAGGAAGATATTCCAAGACAGTTGCACTATATTTGTCTTTATATTGCTCATATAGCTGGTGCCTATATCTTGAAGTAAGTGTTTGTCTTTTATAGTATCCAAAGTACTATTCAATATATTATTTGTCAATATTATAGTCTATTAAGAAAAAGCATTTAGTATTTTTGTGTCATAGTTAACAATCTGTCACCAAGTTTGATCATGGCTTAACAAGCCATAGAACGCTCATCCTGATAGCACAATGAATCCGCTGTCTGATGTCTAAGATACACTGAACCTAATTCATTGTTACTGAACTTTGTTAACGAATGAACAATATTCAGAATGAAATATTTATTTTTACTGTTTCAGCCTTCAGCGCTTGGGTCTAATTTTGCTGGTACCTCATTATCTTGTAGAGCTCATTTTTCACGCTTCACGTCTTTTCTACTTCAGTGATGAGAATAAACAGAAAGGGTAATCTTGTTTTTTACATTTTCCTACTACTGTCATGATATTAATTTAGTTTTCTTTTTTACAGTTTTCTTAGACCTCACCAGCATGTGGGTTATTACTATCTGCCCTGTTTAGCATACACTATACTTTTACTATATTTGCAAAAATGAAAAGAATAATTTTGGGATCAGGTTAGTTGAAGAACTTGGCTCCATTTAAGATTGGTCTTAAAGATCTTGCTTCTAGTATACCACCAAGAAAGATCATGACTTTTCACAAATAAGTATCACCACTAAAACTGATCTTCCCCTGTCATCTACATTCTTTTCAGTGGAATTTCTAGACTTCTTTCTCCATAATTAGCTTCAAGCCCCTCTTGAAGAATTGTGTATTAACTACTTTTTAATTTGTTTTATGATTTCACTAAAAAGCATTGTTTTGCTAATTTAAGAGCTTTTCAGTGCACATATTCCTTTTTTTTGAAAAAAAAAATGTTAAAGTGTTCCAGTATAATGCACAGCCCCCAAATTTGAAAGGTAGAATAACAAAAAAGAAGAGATTTTCCTCTTCCTCTTGATTTTTTTCTCCATTTATTTCAATCAGCACTCAGGTTTCCTGAAAACTTTATGCAAGTATATTGATTTTGCAGTGATTCTTCACAGACCTGGATTTCTCAGTTGCTAAATATATGTGTGTTTGGTTATTAAGAGGGCTTTTGTTCAACTAAAATTGAAATCTGAATCACTATTTCATTGTCTTATGCCTTTAAAGTGATTTGCTTTCTTCTTTGGTTTTTATTCTATGAGGTAGTTATGTTTTCAAAAGTAATATTTTCAGTTATAATACCTGATGCCATGGATATGCTCTTACAATATCTAGCAAGAGTATAAGTAAAAAAAGGTTCTTATTGGTCATAGCACCTGATACAGCTATGTTCACATTATTTAGTGACATAAAGCAACCAATATCATCCACTCCTTTTCCTTTTATCTTGTGTGTTTGCCACTGAATACATAGTGTTATCTCTGTAGCTATATTAATGTTAACCATAATCAAACTACATCTTGAAATGTTGTTTAGAAGTGTACGTGTAAATAGATGAAAACATATTTTACTAATCATGGTTAGCTTCAGAATTGAAAGATGATGCTTCATCTTTAGGTTTTGTGAATGTGGATTGCTTGAATTTGGCTAGATGCCTTTCATGAATCCAGCAATTACAGTTTATTCAACAAACCATGATTGTAATATACATTGTTATGTGTTAATATAATACAGCAATTGTATCATCTTGTATATTTGTAAGACAATATGAATGTGTACCATATCATGCTGCTTTAGAACTTAATTATTCTAGAAGTTACTAGCAGTACATTGTGGAGAACAGTGGTTCCCTTTTGTACTGCAAATGTTTTCTAGCTAGCTGTAAATTATTGCCTGCATTAGAGAACTTTTCAAATCTAGGAAATTGGAGAATTTCTGAGGAACTGATAGCAAAAAAAATGTCATTTTCTTTTCAGGTTTACCCTTTGGGCTCTTTTATTTGTAATGGCTCGTCTTTTGACCCTGACCTTGTCAGTTCTCACCTTTGGATTTGGTCTCACAAAAGCAGAAAATCCTGGCTTTTCTGTAGCAGAAGGAAACTTCAACATACTTACAATTAGGTATAATACGTTTTTCTGGAATAGCTATTTCAGAATGTTTTTTATATTCACAAGTCCAAAAGTATCAAATTGTTGCAGGAATAATAGTCTTCCTTTATTCTTATTACTTTTTAAACTACTATTTATTTTGGTAGATAACATGTAAACTTACCTCAGAACCTTTCTGCAACCTATCTTTATAATGTTGGCTATATTAACAGTCACAAGAATGCATTGCCCTTTGGAACATATGAAACTTCAGCATTTGGACTGCCCTAGTAGCAAGCCAGATACCTCTATGAAGTTCATAGCTATCTTCTGTGTTCCAAATACATACTTTTTTTTTTTTTTTTTGGTGCCTTCAAATCAGTGCTGACTCCGGGCAACTGCCTGAACTAGTCCCTGCCGTTTTCTTGGCAAGATTTTAAGAATTGGTTTGCCATTGCCTTATTCCTAGGGCTGAGAGAGAATGACTGGCCCAAGGTGACCCAGCTGGCTTTATACCTAAGGCAGGATTAGAATTCAAGGCCTCCTGGTTTCTAGCCTGGTATTTTAACCACTACACCAAACTGGCTCTCAAATACATTCAAATACATACATTTGTATGCCAGCTACTCAGAAGATTTTAGGCTGCTTACATCCTAAATAAAACCAAATGTCAAAATCCAAATTTTCTATACATGATCTATTCACTAACTCTACCATACCTAAGCTGCTAGCTTTAGTTAGATGGCACTTCCTGCCCTAAATGCTTATTGGAAGAGAAATTTTCATAGCTATTTGATACAGCACATGCAAATTGGAGCAATATTGATGCAGAATACAGTTGTAATTATCATGTCTAATAGCCATTATTATTGGCTGTTAAGTAAAGTATTATCCAGGAAGGTCTGCTATTAAAGGCATATGATATGTGATAGTCTACAGATCAAAAAGCATTTGGATTGCATGAGTAACTTCATTTTATTTTTTGAATAGTCCATCTTTGGAGATGATCTCAAAATTCATCTCAACAGCATTATTCTAACTAATGTGTAACTTTTTTTTATGTTAAACTAATTAGAATTAGCTGTCTGGCTGCAATTTGTTTGACCCAGGCTTGGATGATGTGGAAATTTATCAATTTCCAGCTAAAGAAATGGAGAGAACACGTACAGAATCAAATTCCTAAGAAAAAAACAAACATAAAAATTAAGCCAACAAAAAAAGAGTCCTGCAGATGTAAGTATAGTCCTCACATCCATACCAGTATCAAAACCACAAAATATGGAGTGACAGATGCTAGTTAAAATCACCCCACTTTGCTTGTTTAATTTTAACACTGGATGGAGTATTGTGGCATAGAATGATAGTTGCCTTTAACTGAACAAAGCCTGACATGACTTCTACATAATACAAAGTTAAACATTTATTTACAGATAGTCCTCACTTAACAACCACAATTGGGACTGGCAACTCCATCACTAAACAATGCAGTAGTTAAGATATCACATGACTGCAATGGACTTACGACCTCATTTCCGCCATGGTTGTTAAGCAAATCACCCACGGTCATTAAACATCACGTGACCACGACTTGTGATTTTACTGCTGTCTTCTCCATTGACTCTGCTTGTTGCAAGCTGGTTGTGAAGCACGCAAATCATGATCATGTGACTGCGGGGCATTGCAATGCTTGTAAACGCCCACTGGTTGCAAAGCACCCAAATCTTGATCACGTGACTGGGGACGTTGCAACGTTCTGAAAAATTGTTCAAATTTCTACACCTGCCATTTTTAAAAAAATAATGTAATTATTTAAAAATCAGTTTGTAAACAACAGCACATAAATAGTATACACTCAAATTTGTAAAAAGATATGTTTAACTTCATACCATATGGGGGTTTTGTCAGCTTCCGTTTAATTACAGATTCAAACAATTTGACCAGGGATCCCTAAGTTTCTGCATGCAACTATTTGCTGATGCATCAATGTGGGCATAAGGGAGGGATGGCTAATCCCCAGCCTTAGAGCTTCCCAGACTGGTTTGTACTAGTTCTTTTGTGAGATTTAGGAATAAAATAAATGCCTTAAATTTGTGCAAGGTTTAAGCCCCTATTTTGTCATGCTAACACCCTCCCAAAACAACCCAGTCCTGAAAATGTGATCTTCTCCATTTCCATTAGTCATGTTCTCTGTTACCTCAGTTAAAAAAAATATGTACCCCCCAGCTTGTAAAGTATTGTCCACACTTCATCCAATATTTCATAAAAAGACTTGTTTCTCCACTCCACTCCTTGTATACAGGTAGGTTAGAAGCAAGAGGAAGCAGAAGCCATTCTCTTTATGAAATACATTATTTGATATAACCCACAAAATTTATTGGCATTAACTTAAATATGTTGTATATAACTTAAATATGTTCAATTTGGTAACTTATAATTCTGAAATAAAAGTATTGCTTATTACATGTTTAAGTATTAATATCACCTATCCTAAATTCTAATACTCTGTTTACCTTTTTTTCCTTTGTATTATAGCTAACTTTGTAAATGGAACAGTAAAATCTGAAGAGGGCACATCACCTAGGAAAAGAAAATCAAAATTTTTGTGAAGAGCACAGTTATAGAGGACACTGATTTAATTGAAGACTTTCTCATACTAAACAGAAAATCTCCATCACCACTGACCATAGAAAAACTATATTTGGCTATTTGGGCTAAAGGACATTGGTTAAAATAATATATTTTTAAGTGTATGTTCATCAAAACAAACTTATGATGAGAACATATTATTTTAAAATCAGTTATTTAACATGATCGTCAGCTTTTGAAAATAGGATGTTTTGTTATAGTTTGACCTCTAATTACAATGCTGCAATATTAGTAGAACAGCATGGGGGAATCTAATAAACCAGAGTTGTCTTTTATTTGGAACTTTATTTCATTTTATAAAATGTAGTTTTAGAATTAGAGTTAGGTATATTTTTTGCAATTTTTTTCTAAATCTTCTCTTCACGTTATTAAACTGCTTGAAATTCCTCTTTAAGTTAGAGGCAAATTATTTTGTACTCTCTCTCTTCTTGGTTAAAGGCAATGTTTAAGTTGTGATTATGAAATCAGTCAATACTGTAATTTGAAAAACTGTCAGTTTAACATACCCAACAATGTGTTTTCAAAAAATGCCCACCATCTAATAATTTAAGGCTTAATTTTGAAGAATGGATCCTTTTTAATTCCAAAAAGTTGGTTTTATATAAATGGCTTCTGAAGTATTTTAAAAGAGGATTTGAATCTACATGCTTCTTCAATATGGTGCTAAAAAAATTAGTTTATTTAGAGAACCATGAAACTGTTATATGATTAATCTTTAACTGTAGAACATTTTAAAATTATTCTCCTATGTAAAAAAAAAAAAAAAGTCAGGTTTTGGCATTAGATAGTGAAAAGACATTCATGAATCCTGCATTTTTTGTCAGAAAACAATGTTAAAAATATGGCCCTTCAATATAATTTTATCCATTTGGTCTGATCCTCCAACATACCAAAAGCTTTTATTACCAAATAATAGCTTTCCTTGAATGCTTATTGTAACAGCATAAGTGCATATACTTTACTAAGTAACAGGACATTTTTGACTGTGCCAAAATCTCCTGTTGTGATTCTTTCAAAAAGGGTAGGCCAACTGGTGCCTTCCAGATCTTTGGGGTTACATCTTTTACCATTAACCATGCTAGGTGGGGGTGACAGAAGTTGAAGTCCAAAACATCTGGAGCAAACCAGGTTTCCTGCCTTTGTTTGGAAAAATGGTTTACACTTGAGATAAACAACACTGGCTGGAATTCAAAGGACTGTACAACTTTTTGCAAATGGCTTTTATTACTCCTGTAAACTTTGCAACCTGGCATGGAAACTATTCAAAGTGAATTTTTTTTTAATCCCTGCATGTCATGCCAGATGATTTAGTGCAGTTACTGTTAGAAGAAAAAATGTCTAAATTTCTACTGGATTCATAGGGTTTTGGATCAGGAATATAGACTTCTAGATCTAAAAAGAGTACTATTTTCAAACTTCTATTTAAAGATTTTCTCTTGTGCTTTCTCAGGTTATCTGTTCAGAATTGGAGTAGTAAACTTTATTTAGTTAACGGCGGGTTACTCTGCAATTCTGAAAGCAGAATTCAAACTCTGTGGCTATTTTACAGTTCACAATTAAACAATTAGAACCTTGTCCTTTTTGTAAGTCTTATAGCACCAGCTGCCAATCAAAGAATAAAGGCCATGTAGATTTAATTATTTTTCTAACCTTTGTTTGAATTTCTAAAAGCTTTGATAGTTGCTTAAACCTATAAATTCTATAAGCGGCTATTATCAACATGCCGTTATCCCTATGTGCTGGGACCCTGGTTCCCAGAATTTCTGCAGCTTGTTTTTTATTATTATCATGGTAGCTGGGATATCTGAGAGTTTTAGTTCCAACATACCTGGGGGGTGCCTTTTGGGGAAAGGCTGCTGTAAAGACACTATAGAAAAGTCTTCACTAACAGAATCTTTGGGACTCTTCTCTCAGCATCCATGACAATTGGGGATGTCAGGAAATGTAGTCCTTTTTAGGTCATCAGATCAGGGAAGGCTGATGTAGCAGTTCAGTCTATGTACTACTAAAATTATGTTTGTTTTATATCTTACTAGCCTGATCCACATCTTGGCAGCCATTGCCATAACAAGAAAATTCTACTCTGTGTTAGGGATGAGTCAGGGATGAGAAGTGAAAGATGCTGGGGGTTGTGGTTCAAAAACACAATGACTTGCATATTCCAGCTCGTGCTGTATGTAGAATAGCTTCTCCTTTCCTAGCACTTTCATATTTTTGGACTGCCATCTAAAGCCAGCATGGCTACATTGCCGTACAGTAGATGCAGTTGCCTTAATGCTGCAATCTGTGGGGTACTCTTCTAGGCATCAGATTTGGGTTTTTGTTTTTTTAAACAAAAAACATATGTACCATAAACATTTCACAATAAAATATTAACAGATTCATATAGATTCCTCATTAGGAGCACAAATAGAGGTGCCAAAAATGTCTATTTTATATAGGCACTGACTCTGTCTGCTACATTCCCCATTCAAAATAATATAACAAGTTATTGTTTTTCAAGATTTGCCATACTTGTTACTAATAAGGTTTGACAGTTAAAGTATAAATAATTAAGGAACAGTTAAAAGTGGTTCTCTGGTTCTGGCAAAAAATGTTTGATTGGTTTGGAATCAAGATACCTGCCTCTCAGTCCATTGTGAAATTACCTCACCTCACCTCACTCCTGACCACATTCCTGTGAGAAACAAGTGGCTTACATTTTTTAAAATTTCTCAGTACCATTCAATAAACAATTCAATCACGTGTATTTACATATTACTATATAGATGAAATTGTTTTTATTATATGAGATGAGGGATTTTTTTTGTATATCACTTAGACATTTTTATGCAAAGTGCTATTCAGGATTTGATTCCTTTTTCTTCATTTGTCAACTTATTTCTGTGTACTAATTTGTTTAAGATTTTATCTGCTGATCTCATCCCATATATTTCTTCTGAGAACGTTTTGCCATGGAATGAGGGTTTTTTTATGATTTTGATGGAAATTTATTTCTGTAAACACCTCATTTGATAGAATCATAATCTTCTGAGCCATTTTGCTAAAAAACTTCTGATTAATTTTCATTGTGCTGGTCATAAGATGATGCTTTCTCTAGTCAGCATGTGTGTAGTTCTGGACTTGAACACTGGTTACATCTTCAGCATCGTAATTGTGGACACTGTTCATCTAAAATGTTTTATGTTACTAATTTCAAATAAAAGTACATGGGAAACCCCATTCCCTCTCAAAGCATAATACTATAAGATGTATCAGTAATAAAATATTTCAGGAAATAGGTTTGGCCTTTTAATTCATGGAAAATCGATTCGTTCCATGGCTCGAACTACAATCATAGATCATAGTACAACTACTGCATTGCCATGAAAATGAAACATTTAACTTACACCTACAATCTCTTCTATCCCTGTACACTTAAGAAGTTTTATTCCCATTTTAATTCTAGAAAATTAAACTCAAGTATTTTAAAATGTATGTTACCTAAAATATCCTTGAAATGCAAACATTTTGTATATGATACTTGTATGTGTGTGTACACCTGATTTAAGTGAATTGGGTAGAAGAATCTATTCTTTTGCAGCATGAGAGGAATATAAATGGATTATCATACTGTCCTGTGTCATTGCACTGATTGCACAGATGGATGTTTTATGTACTTTCAAATGTTAAATAAAAGGTGGGCCTGTGCCTTAAGCTTGTTTTGGTATGTTCTGAACAGTTTTTCCAAGTACTAGTGTGTAAAAATGTGATTCATAGAAAGTTTGCTATTTCTAACAGAAATTATTGTGATTTAAAATTGGTTGGTATAATAAAACATGAGAGTTAATTAGTTGTACATATATGGGAACTGAAACTATTCAGGCACCAAGACTTGAAGCTTAAACAGTATCAGGGATGATCTAGATATCCCTGTTACAGTAACCTCTGTGCCTTTACTACAAGCATTTGTAGCAGAGGTCTAATGCAGTTATGTACCTTTTTTTTTTCCAAATACAAGTCTGCTATTCACCAGAACATTCCAAAATCTTAGATGTGATCTCAAGGCACAAGTTGCAACAAGATTGTTTAAGCTAAACTCTTTTGTTCAGGTCAATATTTGTGTGAGAGGTTATGCAGAAACCCTACTGCTTGGATTCCATTGAAGGGAAGGTTGTTGAAATTACGGTCCGACTGGAGAAGATGTTCTGATAGTGGTTTTAATATTACTATAAACTGATATATAGTCTAGCATTTATAGCAGAAGTCCCTTTAAATTGAATGTAAAAATATTAGATGAAGTCTGGAGCTTGGTATACACCAAGTGAAGTGATGCTTAGCATGCTGGACTCACATTGGGAATTCAAGTTCTACAGTAAATGTCTTATAACTATCACATTAAAATCTACCAAATTTATTTTTTTCTTTTATGATTTCATATTTGCAGCTATATTTACCTATGTGATCCTAAATACAATTACTCAGAAATCAAGTTCTATGGTCTTTACCTGGACAAAGAAAAAACCAATGTTTCTATAATACTCTTTATAACCATCAGTGAAAGCATACTCAACATTTTAACTGCCTCAGTATTTTACACTTATCTAGAGTAAACATCTCTTCAATCAAATTAACTTCCAGAGCAGTGTATATTTTAAAAACAGATACAACTCAAGAACAGAACATATTAATAATTCCAATCCAAACCCACAGGCATTTGTGATGTTCACGTCTTGCTTGAATGGACATCTACTCTCCCTTAGCCATGGAGAAACAGATTCATCCCCAATGTAAATAAGCTCTCTTGTTAATAGCACAGTTACCCTCCTTTAGCCATTGTAATTGCTGACCATGCAATAATTAAGAGTATTGTTAGAAATGTTAATGGCATGTTACTTTTTATAAACTCTTATAATTCATGGGTAGAGCCACCTATACTTACAGTGTCAGTTTCTGCTTAAATGCGTGCTGCTTTTTTTTAAGCATCCAGAAAAAAAGCCATATTGTTTTAGCATATTTTCTTGATGCATTTTTAAGGAGTGAAGTTATTTAATTGTAAAGCTTTGCAACTAGTGTGAAATGATAAAGCTGTCATTTGCTTGGTAATGTGCCCAGAAGATGACCTTTCCCTGTGGAACAAAATGTTTTGTGTTCCATAACTGTTAGAATATTATGTTCACTTTGGTTTATTTTGGTAACATTTAAATCACAAATTCCTATGCTTTGAATCATATAAATTCACAAAAATAACTGAATTTAGAAAATAAATTATCATTTTAGGTGAATTTATGAATTGAATTTGTGAAGATGGGTTAAACAGGCTTGAAGGCTTGCCTAGTCATTTTCATGAGAAACCAAAGATTAAGAGGTAGAAGGCATAACATTTCAAACTTCATTGGTGGGCTCCTTCTGCCAAGGCTTACCCTATAAAAGATGCTTAACTCCTCTACCTGGGGAGTTCTTAGACCTGTACTAAATACCTCTCCAGTCCAGCTGTAGGGGGAAAATACAAAAGAAGATCCTTTGAATCTTTTGAAGCTTGAAAACATAAAATGTACCCTTGCAGAACACCCTGAAAACACAAATTAACTCTTAAAACTAATGAATCCAACTCTAGATATAAAAATGAGTTTAGTAAGAAAAGGGAATGTAAGACAAGAAAAGGCAACAATTATAAATAATTCCAAATAAAAACTACAATTAGACATCTCCAATTTGAATAGGATTTCTAGTTGCAGAATCTGTTCAGAATTTACTGCAGAATATGCCTGGACAGAAATATTTTAGGCCTTCTGCTTGGATGTTGTTAAGTAGGTCCATCTTAATACTTTTTTTCTTTTTTTGAGCACTGTTACATTTTTATAGAATGTGAAAAGTAAATGAAAGACAATCTCAAACGAAATCCTCCATTTCTGATATGGGACTAGCCAATAAATTAAAAAATGATCTAGTGGTGGAATAAGTCTGTCATGAAATGATAAGGTGCTGACTCATTTGCACCAGTTATTTATCTTTATTTATTTAATGTACTTTTATCCTGCTGCAATCAAAAAGATTCTTAGTGGCTGATACAGAATAAACAGTACAATTAAAACATCCACAGTACAATTATTAAAAAAAAAACAGTCATAAATAGGAATAAAACAGCACTAAAACAAAAACGATAATACCATAAAAATACAAATAAACATGGCAACATCAAAGCAAATCATGGGAAGTTTTCTGAAACGGCTTAATTTTCAAGAGTTTTTGAAAGATCAACAAAGAGGGAACCAGTCTGATCTCTATTGGTGCTGCCTCAGAGAGAAGCAACACTTCTTGTTTCTGCCCCCCGCCCCCACTTCTCAGAAGTACAAGACTTGTCATAGTTTCCCCCTAACAGATCTAACCAGTTGGGCCAGTACTCGCTGCAGTAGGCAGTCCTGTAAGTAACCAAGTGCCAAGCCATAAAGGGCTTTATAGGTCAAAACCAGCACCTTAAATTAGACCCAGAAACCAATCAGCAACCAGTGCAAAACTGGGAACCATAGAGTATGCAAGCCACTGAATTTTGGACCAAATCAATTTTTATTAATACAATCAAAGATCAGCAACAACAAAAAGAATAAAACAAGGGAAATAAAATGAATAAAGTGGGTCCTGGCTGGAAAATGTATTACTTCTGTACTGACTGTTGCCATGTTTTCACTGCCTCCATGCAAAATTTGGCTACTATGTTGGTGGTAGCATGGCTGTCTTTTCTGCCTGGTCAAAACCAGAGGCAAATCCACAGCAAGCCCAGAGAGTCTCAATCTCTGGTTCACTGCTGATAACCATGGTCGCGGCGGGGGGGGGGGAGATTGCCTCTTAGTAACAGTACCAGGCATTGGGGAAGAATGTAATCTTCAGCTAGTATATTATGACTAGCCTCCATGCCCTTGCCTCTTGAGCCTGACGACTGTGTTGGGAATGTTCCTTGGAGCTGCAAATGTGGACCCTGGTGCAAGTACAAAAATGTGGTCCATGGTGGAGCACTCTTAGAATCCAGTTTGTTCTTGTTAGATATACATACAGATTTTATCCACTCTAAAAGCTTCTGATTTAGAGGCTTAGTGTATAGTTTACCTGCTATACTCAGTAGACTGATGGGTCTATATTTAGCTGGGTCTTCTCTGTTCCCTTTCTTGTATATTAAGAATACTATGGCCAGCCTCCCAGTCCTTGGGGATATGTCATGTCTGGTCAATGTAAGAAAAAAAGAGATGCAAAAAGAGGTGTTCACCATGGACAATGGGTTTTAAGCAATTCAGGTAGGACACAGTCAGTGCAATTTTTGGACCAACTGTAGCTTCTGGGTGTTCTTTAAGGGCCTGAATCCTGACCATAAAGGGTCCAGATAATCTACTTTAATTTAGATAATTTAATTTAGTATGCTACAAAGTTGGTCCATCACTACCATCTCACCAACTTCCCCCAACTACCAATAACTTAGTAGTTATTTAGCATCACTGGATCCAGAGATGGCTTCTTCAGAACGGGACAACCACAGCAACTTTCAAGGCTGTCAGAAACTCACCTTCCATAATGAGACATTGATTATATCCGGGATCAAAATGGTCACCAACCCACTTGTTTCCCATGCAAACTGGGAGGGGGATCCAGCAAGTAGCAGAAGACAGCTAAGACAACACCCTACCCACTTCCTCAGAAGTTATAAACAAAAGGAATTGCAGATATAAAGGCAAGGCAATGCCACAGTCACCAAAAGACTCTGTCCATGCAGAGTCAAAGCCATAGCAAGTCTGAGCTACTTTATGGCAAAATGCTATACAAGCTGGTCATAGTGCCCCAGGGAAGACCACAAGACTGTCTCCTCCCAGAATGGTATTCATTATCCTATACAAGCCATCTGATACCATGAGGAAGGAGGAGTAAGCACACTTCACCCCTCTTGTTGCTGCAGTGTAGGCCCAAACATGGACCTATATCCATGCTCAATTGGATTTGCTTCTAGACTTCCTCCACTGGCATTCCAGACATTGTTTCTGGTGCTTTATCTCCCAAAGGGCCTTGATAAACCAAAATGACCCCAGGGGTCAGCCCCCAGAAAGAGGTCACATAGGGACAACCATCGTCCAGCTGCTGATGTCAGCTGCTTACTAGGCACTGAATGGAGCTACCCATCAAAGAGCTGGGAAATTATCCACGTCTCTCTGGAAATCAGTTGGATCCATTAGGTACCTTGAGTACACCATCCAAATCAGTCCTACAGGCTTCTGGTGGGGACAACTGTGCCTTAGTCATCTGTGAGAGGGGAGATGGCATCACAGCTGGATCAGTGGCTGGCAGCAAGCACTGGCCACCCAACTTGCTCCAGATCAAGGAGGAAGTGAGAAATTTGACCACTTGGTCTCCGTGATGGCAGTTCCTCGTAAGCTAATCGCAAAAATGGAAGCTTCTGTGAATGGCTTGCAAGCGAGCAGCTGGGAGGCAGGGGATCCACCTTTGTTCACAGCTGTGGTGCAGCCTAAATATGGATACTAGAGCCAGCCAGACCCCATTTCTAATAATTGTTGTTGTTGTTAAGTCGTGTCCGGCTCTTCGTGACCCCATGAACCATATCACGCCAGGCCTTCCTGTCCTTCACT